GTTTGGACCCAGAATGACATTTGTTAGCTCGGTATCTTCTTTACATTCCAGCATTTTACTTCTATTTACTTTTTTACTGCTAGGAATTAGAAGCTTCAACAAATATTTAGTTTGCCCTGGATAACCTTGAGTACTGTGGGGTTTGGTTAAATAGAATCCGAAACTGCGCCTCATTTATTCACAATACATGACTAAACTAGGTCACAGAATATGGTTTAAAACCAATCTTCTACATCTTTGAGTTAAATAAACCTGATCTACTTTCCCCTTGCCTCCTGGTTTCTACATGGGGGTTAAAAATTTTAACTAGTTGCTGCTGGATAAAAATTCAAACCTTCCAAAATGAACAAGAATAGAAGTATAAGGTCTGGTACAGTCTGGGACAGATTCTAGTTAAACAATATGTCTTTTGATTATTTTGATCATATTATGTGTTTACTGATGAGTAAAGACAATGCTAACAGGATGGACTTCATTCTATGCTATAGTAACATGTTTTGAGCTGTTGTTGAAGCTTGGACAAGCTTTATTTCACTAAGGGTTTAAACACTGATATAACATTAGAGTTCATGTGTTCCTCATATGCTCAGTATGAATCATGTATGAATCATTTAGTGGAATCATTGGAAACATGGAAACATTATTTGGCCAAAATGTTTTATTCACCTCATGAATTTGCATTGTGAATTGGTCTGAAAACATTCCAATTGCTCTAAATTAGTGAAAAGCTAATTTAATCACATCCCAAGTTCTTCCAGATAAAGTTTGGTTTTTTAAACACAAAATCCATCTCAAACTGTAACATGGTTTTCAACAATGTTTCCCCTTCCTCTTTTAACATAGTAGTTTAGTTTACTTGAGTTGCACTAGTTTTTAGTCAGTTTTAAACTGAAATATGTTTGACTTGGAGCAGAATGATTTTTGTTAATAAACTCTTATATTTTAAATGGAAGTACAGTAGTGGTGCATTTGTTGCATATATATGCAGAATTATCTGTTTGACCATGATTAGTGCTCAAATCACTCTTTAATTTATTGTTCTGACACACAGCTAGACAGTGTGTTCATAGACAATATATGATACCGAATAATATATGATTAAATAAGATATTTACCACCCCTACCGGGTTGGGCTTTAAACATCTTAAAGTATCACAACACAATATGGCATCCCTGATCAGTAAATCTCCCACTATGATAGTAAGATTAGAGATAAGATGTCCAAGCAGGACTGGTAATTAAGTAATTCTCAAAATTGGGGTCATGACCTACTTGGGCTCTTTCACTGTGGGGTTTTTAGTTCCACTATAAAAAT